ATAAGCGCAAAGCTGCGAAAGATTAAATTAATTATTGGGCATTATTGACGAAAAATTACGAGCTGATTTTGTTGAAACAGAACTTGTTAAAAAATATGAATAAATTACAATCGGGAAAATGAAAAATGGGGAGTCATTTCTTAAAAAATGGCATGTTTATTCCGAAAAATTGAATTGTAACTTTTGTTTTTGTTGCAAATGTTTCGCATTTGATGAACTTTGAATGTTAAAGACATGCGTGGTTAGAGTTATGGAAAAGAAACAAATATGAAAAATGTAAGCAAAATTTACTTTGGAACGAAAATCTTAAGGCTTTTGTTATACATTGCGGTGTCCATACTCTGTAATAATTATTAACTCTGCAGAAATGATACATATCAAATATAATTAGTTTTTTGTCAATATAGTTCAAGAAATGAGTAGTTTCTTTGCATTTTTTACTCATTTTTGGATAATATTTCTAAAATAAAAAAAATAATAATAAAACAACAATCTGATAATCTTAACTTTAAAACAACAATCTGATAATCTGAATATAACGAGAAAGCAAGGATGAATACAATTCGGCTCCTACGATGTCAATAAGGCGAAGTTTACGACGCAATTTTGGATATTGTGAAAAATTAAATTAAATTAAAATTTAAAAAATCTAATATGAAATGCGAGTGTTATGATTGGAAAAGACAAGCTAGTTTTCTTTAGCTGTCTTGGCATGATTTGCTTAATAGAATAAATCGCACAATAAATAAGTAAAATGTTTCAAAACCCAAATATTAATATTGCACATACGTTAAAAATAATTGAAAATTTAAATATATTTGATTATAATCAACCCGCAAATTATCTCGATTTTCTACATACATTTAAAATCAATGTATTTTATACTCTTTTAGATTCTATCTTATTTTTTGTGTACTAAATCCAATCAAATTAAAAATTACTTTAAAAAAAAATTTAAATATTTATATAATTTACTGTTAAAACAGTTAAAATTAATTGGGGGGGGCGCTAGAAAAAAAGTTGCATGCGGGCGCAAAGGACCCCAGGACCGGGCCTGTATATATGTATATATATATATATATATATATGTGTGTGTGTGTGTGTGTGTGTGTGTATATATATACTAGCAAACCCGACGAACTCCGTTTCGCCATCGGATGGTTTCGTGAGAAAGATGAAGAAATTTTTTGCTTGTTTTATATTTGAAAAGGAAAAATTTGATTTTATTACACAACAGTAATAAATTTATTTCGATTACAAAAAATAAGTGTTTTTTAGTTGAACTTCTCTAAGTAAATGAAAGTGAATCCGCAAAATATCCGTTTCATTGAAGTGCTCTTTGGTAAACCACATTTTTTGTTTTTTGTCTGACGTTAACACAAACAAAGCGGATGGTTTCCCAACTCGTAAACAGGCAACGTATAACTGCCCATGCAAAAAACAATGATTTTCTAAATTTATCCCGCAAACACTAAGCGATTGGCCTTGTGACTTGTTAATTGTCATTGCAAACGCAAGGCGAACTGAAAATTGCAATCGTTTGAAGTCAAACGAAAGACCAGTCGGAATCATTGGTATGTCACCAAATCGCCAGCAATTTTTGATTGAATGGTGAAATTTAGTGCGTGTACATAATTATTCTTTGCGGCAAGAACTGCTCGTTGACTTAACCAAGCATAATTCTGATAATTCTCACTAATGTCATTACTCGAATTTTTAATTACGCGTGAAGTTCCAGCAATTTGCATTAAGGCACGATGCCACGCACTACTAATTTTCTTAGCTATAAACTTTGCGGAGCCCGAGAACTTTCCAACGAATGCAAAATTGTCGAAATAGGTTCGTGCGTTTTGGAGTTAAATCGTCAGGAAGGAAATCCCGACTTAGTTATATATATATATATATATATATATATATATATATATAATTAGCTTATTGTCCAGGTGCATACTAGGATCAGGAAAACATTACCCCTAGACCATATTAGTATTTTATAAGTCAACAATTATATGTAGTAATTAATATAATTTAAATGTTAAAGGTATATTCAGAGCTTCGGTACTTGTTGATGATGTCGATACCCCAGTATATACCTACGAAGGTGAAGGTAGTTTTGGAGAATTGGCCCTGTTGTACAACGTTCCCAGAGCAGCCACCGTAACCGCTCTTTCGGACGGCTGTTTGTGGGCGATGGACCGTCTCACTTTCCGCAGAATAGTACTAAATGCCGCATTTAAGAAACGAAAGATCTTTGAAACACTTATCGACTCCGTTCCAATGCTCAGCAACCTTCAAGCCTACGAAAGGATGAATTTAGCAGACGCCCTGGTGACCAGATCCTTCGGACCAGGAGAATGTATCATCAACGAAGGAGACGCAGCAGATGGAATGTACTTCGTTCAGGAAGGAATGGTAAATATCTTAATTACTAATGCAAGTGGCCAGAAAATGGAAGTAAATCGTGTCGGCAAAGGAGGATACTTTGGGGAAATGGCTCTAATCGAACACAAACCCAGAGCAGCCTCGGTCTTTGCAATACAAAATGTCAAATTAGCATTTTTGGATAAGGCAACATTCGAGCGATTACTAGGTCCTTGCATGGACGTTATCAAACGAAACATGGAATTGTATTCTGCTGTGGATACGTCATCTGAAATGCAATCATATTAATTAAAGATACTCTAAAAATGTAATATACTTCTTATCTACACGTAATAAAATAAAATCATTACAGTCAGCATTTACCAAATAATAAGATGTATTTTAGTATTTGTATATTTAGATATAGCATAATAAAATAATAATATTTGTTATTATGGAAAAAATTAGCTAGCAAGTCGTACGTCAATAATGATTTATCAATATCAAACTATTAGTTAATAAATAAATTTACTTGTATACAGTTATTTTAAATAGTTTTCATACAGGTTTAGCCATAACTCATATTTCTATCAAAACAGATTGATTTCTTCCTTGATGAATATAATTTAATATAATGAAAAAAATAAATTAATTTGAGAATTTGAGATTTGATAAATTTGAGAAAATTTGGAATATGTTTAGAAATGAGAAGTAAAGAAAACTGGATCGGACCTCTTCTGCAAAAAGAGTGCCTCCTGCACGACGTCGTCGAGGGTGAAATAGAAGAAATAAAAGGATCCAAATAGAGAAAGATGAAGTATGTTTGAACGAACAAGTTGCCATTATTCAATAATGATTATTGCATTGAGTCAAGCTCCTACATTAACATGATCTGTAGATCGCATCCTTTTAAGGAGTCAAAAGTAAGTTTTCACGTTTGACTTATTTTAATAATAACTGTTTCTTGTATATCTTTACGTTTCAAAAGTTTCTGAACATTTTGGCATACCTCGCGCTTATACAAATTTTCGTCGACGATTTCGGGAACACCGATCAACTGATTTGAATAATTCAAAAAACATTCCATTCTTATAAGGAGACCTGCTGATTAGTTTTTGGCGAAGACAGATCTAGCCGTTCCAAATATAGAGACCTTGTACAAAGTTGACAAAAACGTCAGTTATATTCTATAAATAATTTAATCATTATATATATAATAAAAATTTTAAAAATCTGGCCAAAACATAAACTTTTTCTTCGAGAAGTTTAAAGCATTATTCTGTTTATTCTTTTTATTCAAAATAAAATACATTAGATAATTCAAGATAATATATTAGTAGAAAATAAAGACTATTACTATTAGCTATCCAATCGTACCCCAATATCAAATTAATATGCAGCCATTTAAAGTGATAAATATGTTGTAAACTCATTGATAAAAAAAAATTTCTTCTTTGAGGAATATAATTAGTAATTGTGTATATATTTGTAATTATTCATTAATAGAATAAATGAGCATATATTTGAGCCTATAATATGTTTATACAAATACATTTCAAAATAACAATTCACGTATTAGAATTCTTACCGTTTTTTTTTCTATTTAAATAGTTGTATATTGAGATATAATTACACTTATCCTTTTATAATCTACTTTGGTTTTATTACAGTTCTGTAACACACTAATAATTTAATATAGTATAATTCTGACACCATAATAAGACTTTTCCATTACATGTAATTGTAAACAATAAACATAGTTAAATAATGCAAACTGACATTTTAAATAATCACCTTCTTATTTGCTAAAATATTGATTGCTGAAAAAATATTAACTCGTTTTTATGTATAAAATAAGAGGGCAATTAGGATATTAAGAAAACAACACTTTTTATCACAATAACTAAATGTTAATATTTTTTTGAAATAATAAATGACATTTAATAATAATATGACAGTGGAGCCATCTATGCAAGTTGCGGTAGTACTTTGTATACATAAGAAACAGATGAGAAACAATCCGAAGCGGGAAATATGAAATCAATTCAAATCAAATATATAAATAATATAAGTATATATATAGTTATATATATATATATATATATATATATATATATATATATACATATTTCGTCCATCTATTTCATAGCTTAAATAGCATAAACGGAGGTTTTATTATTATAAACAGAAAAATGTTGCAAGGTTCAAAAATATTTAAACATAAATTCGTCGTTTAGTATACTAAATTGTTAATATGTACCTTCATTACTATACAGGTAATTATTATCATTTGTTTTACAGGTAATTATTATCAATTATTATCATTTGTCTGCGAACCTGTCGATTTGTCTGCGAACAATATCTTTTATAAAATATGAATTTTTTTAAAAAAAATAACTTCGAAACTTTAACATACTAATGACTTAGATTTATGATGCATTTATAAATATATATTAAAATCTTAGTGTCTATTTACTTGTTCATACGTTCATATGTTAAAAAATTATTTATATTAATATATTTAAATTCGAATTTGGCGCGTTTTCACTCGTGTTTGTCAATTCAACATTTAAAATGTGAAGCAACCCCTCTGTGGTATTTTTAATCTTGGTTAGTCTGTGGAAATTTGTGTCTGATGTCCTATTTGTTTGTTAATAAAACTTAATAAATATGTATTTGTGAAGAAATTTTGACGTTGGTTAATGTATTAGATTATCTAATAAATAAAATGCAAATAAGAAAATGTAAATATATATTATCTGGACTGATATAAACATTGATTTTGTTGATAATGGAGCCAGTGACAGCTTGCCACAAACTTTAATTCTCTCTGGATGACAATCGAATAAATTCAACTAAAATGTAATTTTAAAATAGAAAGGATAAAAGGAATAATAACTCAAGGAGATCTTTCTTTATGAAACTGATCGAAGGTGGGCGTAAGTCATAGTTTTGATAGTGATTATAATTAACAACCATAATTCTAACATTTTATTCTGCAAGCTTAAATTAAGCTTGATTTATGATTGATATTACTTTGATTAAAAATTAATTAAATGCTTTATTATTAGTTTTCATATATCGATTTAAATTTCTAATGCCTAATGAATGATGTATGCTCGCTTAAACTATGATTAATTTTGAGTTTTTTTTCTTAAAATGTTATTTTGTTAAAATATGAATAGTTGGTTATGGTATTGTCCAATCAATGAAAATGTTATTATTAATTTTTAGTTAGATATATTATAATACTTAAACTGATCAGTTAAAATTTATTCAGCTCAACCTGGTAAACAATTTTCATAATAAAATCAATTTTATTTTTAAACGGAGTGATAATTCATCCACTAGTTTGGGCAGTTATATTCCTGTTATTAGTATTTCGTTACCCATTCCTGAATCCTTTGCAAACCTAAAACCAAAAGTTCTATATTTGATCTATTATATATATTTTTATATTGATCTATCTACATTGTTTTCCAAGTTATTTTCAACTGTTTCTTTACTAATCTTTTATTTTACTTTTATATCAAAATTAGTGAAAGTGTTCTAAAATATTTGTTCTTCATAAAGGACATAAATTTTGTAGCTTAAATAAAAGGCATAAAATGAAAGCAAAAATGCGATATAATGTTCAATCAAATAATCAGAAACTGTTAAAGGCAGGTTTTTATTAATTTAAATTAATCATAACAAAAACAAAGAACAAACAGATAAATAGCTTATATTACTATTAGGTACTGCTGTTTTTAATTATTTAATCTTTTCAGTTTGTATATCATAATTGCTTATTTTCTTTTTCTATATTTCAGACATGATGATTCACATATTCAGGCACAAATCTACCAAAAAGAAATGCAATATATGAAATAAGTAAATTTTCCAGTCATACAAAAATATTCAAGATCAACATAATCATATTGCATTGAAAATATTTCTTCAATCTACTTGAAAATGTCGCTTATTAAAATATTTATCATTGATATGTAATTAAACTCAATATGATAACATTTGGAATATGACTTTTGGCTTATGAAATAAAAGACAATATCATTATGAAACTGATCAAAGGCTTCCTGCAGCACACTAACTTGCCAGCACTAATAATAGAAATATTTTTAGTTCTGCTGAACTTTGATATGACATTCGGCCATAATGATGAGGGTACGATGGTTTTATATATTTTTTTTTATTTAGTAGTTAATATAATTAGTAGTAGTAGATCTTTGTTATACAAATTACAACATAACATTTTTATGCAAATAAGTAAAGTGAATCAAGCTAACATATTTTTAAATTGAAATTTTACTTTACCAGTTCTTCTTTCGTTGTTTTTCTGGATTTTTATCTTAGAGTTATTGTTAATTAAGATTGAAACATTAAATAATATCACAGGTTATATATTATAACATCATTAAAAACTCACTCTTTTTAATTCTTTTTATTAATAAATCGGGTATCTTTTATAGATTAAGTCATATTTTTTTAATATAGTCATGTTCATTTTTTATTATATTTTATAAACAAAATATATAAAAATTTGTTTTGTTTATTATTGACTTACTAAAAGGAGTATGGTCACACAAATATTTATTACTAAAAATTTTAATAATTATCAGGTTACTGTCTTTTTCCTGAACACTGGAATGGGCAATGGTTTCAATCGGGAGTTCAACAATCAATTATAATTGAACGATCACTGTTATCATCAAAAGGCCGATGCATATCATCCAAGGGTGACAAATTTCTGCTTCGAGATGAGTAAGTTTACTTGTTGATGAAACGGAAGCTTGACTTATTGTATTTTGAAAATTAATAAAAGGCAAAGTCTTAATGCATTTATTTACCTTAATCAAATATGATAAGCTGTATTTAGTTCCTATTTTGTTATTTCAATATTTGGGATGTGTAAAATACTTTTAACATTTTTTATGACAAATAATTAACTGCACTTAATGTAGAAATAGCTGTACCTTCCAAATTTTAAATTACAATATTTAAGTAAATCATAAAATTTTTGTGGGATTATGCGGATTATAATAGAAACTAACCTGCTTTATTTTATTTAATTTTTTTGTAATAATTGATTAATCTATCGCTGCTATTAATATTAATTATTCCAGTTTTTATTGATAACTTATGCAGTTTCTAAACTCATTGTCAGAATAGTAGTATTAATGGTGAAAATAGTATTAATAGTAATATATTAACATATTGATAAAAAGATTTCATACTTAACTTAATTATATTTCAGGAGAAATTGCTATCGATGTGTTGTTATACATGAAAAGCACTTAAATGTACTCCAATATAAAGAAAGTAAGTCAATTTGAATTAACTATATTATAAAATATTGAGTAGAAAATGAAGCTAAAATTATTTTTTTCTATGAATTTTTGAATTATTAAATTATCACTTTATAAGTTTATGAATTGTGAGCAATGATTCTTACAGCAATTTGCAATATTATTAAGTTTCAACATGTTTCATATATATGTTTTAATAATTTTATAAAATGTGTATGTTTATATTTATTTATTGGTAATTGGAAATATGGAATTACACAATATGTATCTAGTTTTTGTTTTAGTTTCCAATTATGGAACAAATTCAATTTCCATTTATTTATATATAATTTATATCCAAAACATGTAATTTTTCTGTTGGGTTAAAATTATTCTTAGGATATAACAAAAAGAAACTAGCTTAACTTTTCCTACTAATCGTATTGTTTATTTCCAGCTCTGTCACATTGTCATAGAAAGGATTCAATACAAAATTTATGCCAACTTATAACTGGAGATGCCTTACTCTATTCTATGTTTCGAGAACAATCAGTTCCCGTGACTTGCCCTTTGAAAGGGCCTTTCACATTCACATATAATAGGGGACATGGCGAATGCATGAATCCAGTATCAAACATTGAAAGTTGCACTGAAGACAGTCGACTTATTTTAACATACCAGGCATGTCCCGATGTTCACGGAACTGAAAGTGCAGGTTTGAATATTAAGTTAATTTATTTAGTAATAAACTCAGTAGTCAAAATTTTATAAATTTAATTTTTTTATATAATTTTAATATAATTTATTTATGTAAAGTTAAAGTTTTAATTATGTAAAAGAGGATTTAACTTTAAATGGTCTCATATTTTATAATATAATTAAAATTATAATAATAGAATTATTACTGTATAATTATAATAATACAAATATATTTACTAATGTTTCTTATTAGTGGAAGAACTGGAATGCCTAGCAACATGGAATGAAGGTAATGCTCGATACCTTGTTGGTAAAATGAATCATCGACATGCCATAACCAGTGAAGATCGATACAGATGCTTTGTTTATGAGAAAATAACTGGAATTGGTGAGTCTTATCAAGCTATTTTATGTATTATAGATAGTAAGCGGAATGTAAAATATTTCAAATTAAATGTATTTAATCTACATTATGAATTTGGAAAATGCATGAATCAAAATTTTTGGCATTGAAAATTAATTTTTCTGTTTAATTATAAAGACTATTCTTAGTAATATTTGTATTTTCTCTTTTAGGAGATAAAATAATGGAATACAAAATTGCACAATCAGGAGATGCTACTTGTAATGGATTGTTTAGTGCTACAGAAGGATCACGGACAATGACTTTAAAACAAGGTATGCTTATAGTAGTATTGAACTTAAAATAATTGTTATTTTTGTCAATATTACTCTTAATGTAGTGTAATAAGAGTTAATAGAATTTGAATACTGAAATCTTCAATTTTAGAGTATAACATAAATTTAAATTGCTTAAATTTAAACTAATCCATACTTATATAATAATTAACTTTTGTACTTATTATAGTTGACTTGTTTATTATTCAAATGTAAATTGTAATACTTTTTGTACTTTTAAATCTCATTTTTGTTCAAATGTAAATTGTAATACTTTTTGTACTTTTAAATCTCATTTGTGAAAGCAATTGTTTAAAGCAGATTTTTTTATATTTTATTTAACTATATTCTTAGAAGGTGAAATATGCTGATAAGAAAATTCATATTTCAAATTTTATAATTTAGTTGCTAGTTCTAGAACACTTTTGAGTGAAAAACCTTTTGATAGAGGTAGAATGCTCAATTGATAATATGAGAGGATTGATTTATTTTATGATCAATTCAGTCAAAATAAATATTTTTGGGATTTTTTATTTAAGTTTTCATTTTAATGTAACTTAATTATTGTTGATAGTTTTTCTCTTATTGTTAGATTAATGACATGGTATTTGTTAGTGATTATTAATAAGTTATTCCTGTAAAATTAATAAATTTTTATGATTGTTTTTATTTTTAGCTGCTATTCCTGAGCGGTGTCGGTTTCCGAATTGGTTAGCTGCTGGACCATCACACTGGCAAACAGTTGATCAATCACAAATTTATTGGTTTCACCATAGAAATTCATCACTTCGGATAATAAAAAATAATGAAGTTGAACTTCAGGCACATTGCAGTCAAATAAATAGGCAGACTGCAGATGATGTGATGATCATACTACAATACTCTGAGAAATGGTACAGATATATTTAAGCAAATAGTTTCTATCCAAAATTTACATTACTTTGTTTACTACTTGTACTTATTATTGCAACAGAGTAATGTTTTGATCTGCATATTTCAGTACTCACGGTTTTATATGCATGCACTTCTACCGAAGAGACAATTTCATTGCCGAGTTACAAATTGGAACAAGGTCTAGCAGGTTGGAGGATGCTTGCGCATTTAATCACTTTGATTCAAGTGTTCTACCATATGTTACAATAGTTTGTAAGTATTACTTTATTTCTGACGCAGGTCAGCATTTCAAAATAATAATTTTTTCTAAATTTTACAAGACTTTATATAATTGTTAGAAATTATATTCAGTGATTATATATTATATTGGAAATATGAATTTTTCAAGTTTTTAAAATAATTGTTTTTAGTTAAATTTAGTATTTAAATTCTTATATTTACTAAATTGAATGTTTTTAAACTTTTCAGATAGCAAATCTAATGCTGTAAATTGTCCCATACCAGGACATTATTCAACGCATGGACTGTTTCCAGATAATGCTTTGACAAATCATTTGAGAATCTCGGATTGTTTTTCAGATTCTCATAAGCTTCATATAGGTTGTAATAATAGGGAAACCATGGAATTTGGTTCGGACTGCTCTAATGTTGATTCTACAGGTACAGAATTTATTTTTTTCAATATCTTTTATATTTATATTTTTAAATATATTATTGCAATAATCAAATTAAATGATTGAATTATATCCTGTAATCTGTATTTTATGTAATTTCTACATACATACTTTTATAAATTACCTTTACAAAAAGTTTAAACTTTGCAATTATTTTTTGCTTGGATTATAAATAAAAATTGCAATTTGTATATAAATTATGCATATTAATAAGAATATTGAAGATTTACTATTTAGCATAACATCAAATAATAAAAAAAAATATGGATTTTTGCTTATTAAAACTAGCGGTTGAAACACATTTGTTTCAACCGCTTCAAGATATTTTTTTTCACTATTTATTTGGTGTACAATGATTTCAAAAATATGAATGATGCTATGAATATAATTACATATACAAAAAAGTGTATGTTTGACTCAAAAGATTTTCAGAAAACAAAGAATGCTTCAATATATTGATTAAGAATTGCTTTGCTAATGACATGATAAGTAATTAATTAATATTTACCAAATCCCAAATTTTGCATATGGCATTATGAATCTTTGCAAATATTCTATAAACATTCTTGGGAAAGAATCTCTTTTCTATGGAAATATTACAGAGAAAAAAAACAAAAAACCTTGAGTTTGTAAAATTTTATAAATGTAACATTTTTCAGACTGACATGTTTTATGTTTTTGGAGCAGGTTTTATTTCAAGTTAATAACATTTAAAAAAATCCAACATTTATTAAGTTAATTTTAAATTGTTTATTTCATTGCACAAATATTTCATAGATGGATTCACATATTTTACCAATAAAAACCATAAAATATTATAGTGAATTCATTGATTGATTGGTTACATCATATTAAGAATTATTTACTTTTTTACATTTACAAGTTTTCCTTCACTTTTAAGGCTTTCTCCAAAAAGTTTTATCAAATCTTGTACATGTACATATTTATTCACATTAAATATTTTTTTAATGATTTTTGTCTAATTATAAGTTTTATTAAGATTTGTGCAACTTATAAAAATATGTGATGATATAACTTTTGCCTCATTGTCAGTCAAAATGATGAGAGGTAAAGAATCCTATTATTAGTTCAAATTAAATATCTTTATGGTTTACTTTATAGAAAAATATGTTAATATTGAATTTATCTTATTAATATTGAATTAAAATTGAATGGTTTTGTCTAAATTCTTTTCATATGTTGATGGTATGTATATAGATACATAAAAAGATAGAAATTACTTTGCTGAATGTTAACAAAAAATTACTATTTATTGCCAATACTATATTCTATAAATGTATAGCTCACTTATTTACTACTTCACTATCACCTCTCATAAGATTCCAGGATATTATAATCATTATAACTATGTATTTCAAAACAACTGTGCTGCATGTATCAGTTAATTTTTTTTTCTTTTTAGATTATTCATGTCACGGTTCATGGATTGAAAATGGCACTACCTTCATAATAGCATCTCAGCAACATGAAGGAAACTCAACCTATTACTGTTTGAAATACAAAACTAATGGAAACGATTCTAGCAAACTTGCCATTGGAAATTCATGTGAACGCCTACAATCATCCAGACATTTTTCTGAAGTGCAAATATCACAAATAGGTAATGTTGAGCATGAAATTATTTAAATAAAATATAAGAAAACAATATATGATTTTTATCAGCCAACTTAGTTAAAATTTTTGACTGACCCTAGCAAAAAACTAATCAACACGAGTTCTAATCTAGTTTTATCAAATTGCTATTAAATTTTTAAAATCAATCCAACCATTTTTGAGAAGACGAAAAATTGGATCACGTAGGCACACACTTTCTTTTTTCATTTGGCATCAAATGAATCAGAATGATTTAAAACGTCGAGAAAAGATACAATTAGCTGATCGGATAGTTTGGAATGGGTTACTAGTTATTTAGCTTTCTTTCAAGTTTACTATGTAAGAAAATGTAAAAAAAAATCTTAGGTCAATGTATTCTGATTTTTTTTCTGTTTTAATACATATATAGCGGTACCTTGACATGAGTTTAACTCATTCCGGTAACACGCTCTTGTGTCGAATCGCTCATATTTCGGAGCAATTTTTTCCATATAAATACATTAAAATGAATTTGTTTCAGCACTATTGTTTTTGTTAATTTTTGTATATTTTAAAAGTAAATTTACTATTTATTGATACAATTACTGTTTTTTCTCTTTATTCATGGTATAGCGGAAAAGAGTTTGACATGTTTTGTTGAATATCTCATATGCTCAAGAGTAGCAACTTTTTTGGGGTTTTTATCTACAAACTTAAAGAGGTTAGAGAGTCTATAAATTATTTTAAGGCCCTTAGCTGGATTTATATCTCTATCTCTATCTATCCTTTCGTTTAAACAAGTATATATCTATGATGTTTTACACATTGTAGATCCTCACCCATTATTCAAGGGACATTGCCCTTATCTTCAGACCCATGATTATAAAAGTACATAATATTTTCTAACTATACAAAAAACGCGAACACAACATACATACCTGTACAATCATTTTTGTTGTATAGTTAAAATTCCAAATGTTAAGAAAAAGAGTGCGCGTATGGTTCACACGATTGAAGTAGAACTTATTTGCTACTGTACAAGATGCTATTTAAGTAATAATAAACACATCATATAACAATTTTGAATAATGTTTATTAGTAATATGGTAACACTCGTGATGCACACATTTATTAGTGTCGTGTACAGTTCGGGCGTAACGCTATTTCCGTTGCATTTGTACGGATTTACACTCTAGTCGCGCCTAAAGAAGTTTTACTTCAATAATTCTTGATATATACGCGTGTTATATATTCGATATTTACTATTATTAAACAGCCAAAATATTTCTATGTTAGGAAAATTATTGTTGCAACTGACGAATTTTTTTCATTCTTTCATTTTGCCATTAACATTTTTCGAGAAAACTTTTACTCGCTCAAGGCTCGTATCTCGAAATGTGCTCATTTGTCGAAGCTACAAATCGTTCCTTTGGCTGCTCATATCTCGGAGCACTCGTAAATCGGGGTGCCACTGTATTTAATTTGCTTAATTTATTTGTCTAATGACAATCTAAATATTATTCAACATTTCAGGTCAGTGTACAACAGCTAATTCTGGCATAGTCTGGAGTACAAGCAACTTTGCAATAATTATGTTAATAGCAATGATGTTCAGTAGATGATTCTGCATTGTATTCGAATGCAGGATGATATAGTGAATTTTTAGTTGATCTTGTATGTAGTTATTCCAGTATTAGTACTTTTCTCTATTTACATGCACTATGTTATTTTTTTGAATATGCCATATATTTTATACAAACATTGTGATTATAGATGATAGTTCTGTGATGATTTTACAAATTAAATGGTCTTGTAGAACAGTTAAACTTTTGCCATAATAGTTTAATGTGTAAATGATTAATGATTTTCAATATGTACTTAAGTATGGTTTCTCGAAGGTAGTAGAAGGTATCAACCTAACGAAATCATTTATTAGTATGTAAGACTTGAGGTTGTAATATCATGATTCCATTATATTTTGCAAGGATTTATTCAATCAATTAATAATGAAAGATTTAAAAATAAACAAGGAAATTGTTATTTAATTAAGGTATAAATAATTAACTAAGCATATTATTGTTGTGGAAAGCTCATGAGAAGCGTACTAAAAATGTATATAAATAGTTTATATTATTAAAAAATAAGAAAGTTTCGAAGAATCACAAAAGTAGATTATGAAGGTGTACATGTGTGGCCACTTCTAGCTCTTTCTAAATTTTATTTACTAAAGCCTTATTTGTAAATAATAATGCAATATAACTAAATTTATTATGTCAATGTGTTACATTATAGAAAACATCACGCTGGATTTTAGAAATCTAAAATTTATTTATAGCTCAACAAAATAATCTATTAGTAGTTTTAAGAAATTCTATTCGTGAAGTACTATATCATTTGTGAAGTATAATGGAGAGATGCATTAAATATTAACAATTTGAATGAATGAATAAACCTTCAATGCAATAATCACTCTTTTATTTAGAGTGGTTTTGTTAATTTAATATTTTAGGAAGCATCTTTATGGAAAAGATATTTTTGATTAGAACTGCTGAGATGATTCCTCATGTATTTAACCGTATTAAACAATATATTTGTTTAATAAAAGACAAGTTAGTGACTAGTTTTAACGAATCATTTATTTCAATACAGTTATGTTTTCAAATATTTGGTATTTTATTACAGCAATTTAGCATCTATAGCTCCAGTGGCATAACTATACCAACTGGGGCCTTTTTAGTAAACATTGAATATTTTCAGCATATTCTACTGCATGTTGTATATGTTCCACTACTGGCCATTGAATTCAATCACAAAATAATGACTGTAATATTGACGATTACAGGATCTATTCTTAAAAAATCGATGTAAAGTAATTGCTGCAAGTCAGCAAGGAATTAAAAATTCTAACCTTGCAGCTTTTTAGGCCGGGGTTTCTTTGGATTGGGGTCTCGTGGAATTTTGCTCTATAGTTACGCCACTGTGCACCTCTTTTTAGTGCAGGTAAAGGCAATAATTTTGCTTTATCATCTTTAAAATTTGAAAAAAATAGTTTACAATTATTGTTTCTGTATTTTTTAGGAAAACCACATAAGTGAGTTGTAGTCAATACTAGTGACACTAAAAGTATTACAGGAAGTCATGGACAAAAACACATGTTCTTCTGGTCTATAAATCGGTTAAGTCAGTCCGTGAATCTCTTATGATTGAAGTTTTGATTTATGTATGTGGAGTCCAGATCAAATGCACTACAAAATAACATTTTATCAGAAATTATTCTCAGTAAGTATAAAGTTACTATCACGTGTAAAGAAAATGTTTGTATACTCATTGATGTGAAGATAGCAAAATTCACAAAATATCACAAGGGCGGAGTTTAGTAAGATTTCACGTCTATTTATTTTTTACCTGAATTAAAAAAAACTAGTGGGGTGCATGGCATCGTGCCTTAAGGCAAATTGCTGGAACTTCCCGTACCGTAATTAAAAATCTTGGTACGGAACCCAAAAAAATTTACACTAAATGTGCACACATTATTAAAAGCTCTATAAAATATCCGATAATTTGATGTACACATGTCCAATAAATATTTTTGACCGCCGTTAAACCAGTCAACACAAAATCTTTATATAGAATTCCATCAAATGGCTTTTAAATTTTTTAAATCAGTGTAGCCTTTTTGAGAAAATATCGACGAAAGTTCAAATTTTGTCTTACAAACATACACATACTTTCATTGATTTTGGTGTCAAGTAATTCAAAATGACTTGAAACGTCGAGAAAACATAAAATTAGCAAATCCGATTTTCTAGCGGACATAAACATCACCTATAGAAAGTTAGTAAAACGTATTACATATATTAAAACCATATATATTAAATACAAAAAATAGATTTATTTTTTTAAATTCAATATATTAACATTTGTTTTTATTTCTATAATAAATTTATCGAGTGGTTGGTGTTGCAAAACAACTCTGATGCGATACGATGAACTGTACAAGGTGTATAAAATTATGTCTGCTAAATAGTTTATAGTTTTTCATATAAATATGATCCCAAAATTCAATCGAAATCAGGTTTTTCATAATTGTTGACATAATGAGTAGTATTCAATGTTGAGTGTCCAACTATTGTTATAATAAATAATGGGTGCTCTGTCTTAGGGCAGGTTCATAAGCTGAGTTAAACTCCAATTCAAATCGTGCAAGAATAGTGTGAGAGGTTTCCCATTGCCATTCTACACCGCAGTGCCCTAAGTGGGCTATTTTCTCTATCTATTGTTTTTTCTATATCTTTAAGTAAAAATTGATATCATTAGTACATGATATCATGATGTCCAGAGCGGAGGTTTGAACTCACGACCCTGTCGACACAAGGCAATGCACTTAACCGTTACGCCAATGTAATAATAGCAGTGATTAGCAATTTCACTTCAGGGCAGTTTGCAAACTCTTCACAAATGTATTAAAATGTAGGCCTGATAGTAGTTTTTCTGTGCTTCATAATATCATTATTCAGTTTTATATTTTGTTTTCCACTACCAAATGTAAATTATATCTTTTTCTGATGTTTGTATTTATAAATATTTCTTTTTCAGTATTCAATAAACCTCTGGTATCATAATCTATTTTTTCATAATAAAAAAAATGGACTTATGTCGCTTTTCGACTTTGGTTCCTATATATCTTTGAATTTTTTGCTCAGTTATGCTATGTCCTAAAACGGATGACTATAAATATTATTAAAAATAATATTCCAATAATTTAATTTGTTTTTTTTTGGCATGTGACCATAAATAAAGAATATATATATATATATATATATATATATATATATATATATATATATATATACATTTATCTCTCTTCTCAAATTAAGGGGGTTGTTATTTTTTTGTTACAAAACATGCAAGGTATTTGTTTTTGTTTTTCTCGAAATGTATTTATCATAAAGACATGCGGTTTTTTTAAAACAAAAATTACAAAATCATAGAATATTAAGGTATTTTTTTTTTTTTCGCCGTCATTTTTTAACCAGGGGGCGCCAAAGTGGGCATTGCAAAATCGATCTCGTTTGCGGTGCCACAGATAAATCCGTTGCGCATCGCCTGAAACAAAAAAAAACGAAACTACGTTGAAGAAGTTTGAATCCAGTCCCCCTACCAAAATGAAAGTAAAAAAAGCAAGAAGGAAAAAAATGGCAGCTATTTAAAAAAAAAGTGTCAAAAAAGGCCATTTTTTGGGACGAGAAGGTTCGCAAATTTTTTTTGCGTAATGTTATCAAGTTGTTTGAGGTAGGGGGACTAGGTATTGCAGTGGTGAACAAATTAAAAAAAAATGCAAGTCGATCCGACTTGTAGTTTTTTTTAATTTGTGGCACCGAATTGAAAAAAGTCAATTTGAGAAAAACGTATTTAAAGTTTTTAATATACTAAATACAACATTTAATTTAATGTACGAAATACACCATGGTGTTCAAAGATGCTGACACATTAAAAAGGTCATGTGCATGAGGTATTATAATGAAAAAGAGGCAGCTGGCATACAATAGCTCGCGGAACGACAAAAAAACGTTTTCAGAGGATCATACGTATAGAGATATATATATATATATATATATATATATATATATCTATAACTTCGTCAAAAAAATAGATATTGAGATGATTTTTTTTTTTAAATAATTCTAAGGTTTTTAGCTTTCATAATATCAAAAAATCTCAAAACTGAAACAAAGATAAATAAAAAAGAACAACCCCCTTAAAAAAAAAAACAAATCCAATGGTATATGTATCAGCATGTAAATATAAGATATATAAATATGTAAGCATTAAATACTAAATATAAATTAATACAGGTAATCCCATTATAACACGGTTCAAGAATTGAGAACGTCTGACTTACAACACAGTACTTTTATAGCACTTTTTTTTACTCTAACGTGGTTCGAGAATTGAGCGAACCCTAATAAAGTAAAAATATAGTAAAGTACTTTATCTAATTTGAAATTAGTGAAATGCCCGTACAACAGCTCAATAAACTAGTGTCAAAGAAACCTATTTTTTAAATGAAGATATTATCAATGAAATGAGCTCAGACTTTAAAAGAAAACTTTGCAAAGAATTTATATTATCATCAGTAAATAAGGATATGGTGTTTACATCAATTGATGTGCACGAAGCACATTATTTAGCACTACAATTTATACACCAGCTTGTTTTTATTGAAAATATTATTTTTGTTTTAATTTTAATAAAACAGAGTTACGAAAATAATTTAGATAAATTACAGAATATTTTTGTAAGAGTAACTTGTAATTATGATAGGCTCCAAGGCTCAAAATCAATCAATAAATCATTTTCACAAAGTTTTATGTTGAATAATTAAAGACCAATTTTTAAATCTTTGCCTTTCATTTGATGTATTGCCTTAGAAGAACTTACTTATACAGGAATACCCCGTTTAACGCAGGGGTTACGTTCCATCAAAGTAGAGTGCAATGCAAAACAGCGCTAAAAGAGTTTATCTTTACATGAAAATATTGGAGTTAGGGGTAAACGGCAGGAAATTGGTCCGGTATTAAATTTAAAAAGTATGTATTTTTTACTAAAAATAAAACCAAACATTTATTTCTTAAAGCCCAAATTAATAGCACATTATTTCTTGCAAAAATAAAGATAAAATATAAATAACAAAACAAATATTCTTGAAAAAACAAATAACATTCTAAGTCAGTCATATTTAGTTAGCCTTCCGCATTTTCAGTATTTTGCCGTTTTGTGACAAAGGCGTCTAATGTTGTTTCACTTTTTCTTTTGCTTCATAAACGGATAGAGCATCTCTAACACCACGCCTTACTTTAGAGCTTCTGTCAAAATTTGGATCATTTTTCAATGAATTGATCCATTATTTCAGTTATGGTAGACAAACTCCTTTTTACAAACACCATCGAAAGTTCTTTTTGCTTTTCCACTGAATCACTGCTGTCAACATTTTTGTTTCCTTCTTGTTCAGTTCATTCCTTGAGGTCACCATTAGAAAGACTGCTCTACTTATTGAATTATTTCTTCGACATCTTCCTCATTTATCCCTTCAAAACCTGGGTTGAAATAAAAGAGCACTAAACCAAAACAGCGCTAAATCATATGGCATAAAGAAGAAGGTGATAGCAATTACCAGTTTTATTGGTGTTATAGACCAGAAATAATAAAAGTACATCTAAAAAAGTACAAAGTATCATATATTCGTTACATTCAATTCAATCACTTACATTAAATTGTATCTACAAATTATTAGCACT